AGTTAGGTTATAATAATTTGGGTTTTTTTAGCGGATTAGGGTTTTCCGCCAATTCGAGATTTTAGTAGCCAATTTTTCATTGATTTAGTCAACTTTTTATTGTAGTCCATATATAATTATATACTTAATCCATGATAATTTTATGATTTATTTTGTGTGATGTAAATTTAATAGTCAACATAAGTTCATACAGGGAATGAACATCTCAATATTCATAAATTGATGAAAACAATGAAAGTTAATAATGTAGTATCTCTATTTCTTATTGGATTCTTAAAAAACAATATTTATAATAAATTTTTTTAAGATTTAATCTGAGCAATTTGGCCCGATTTTCGATCCGAATCGTCGATTCGTTTATTCAAATCGATTTTTGGGATTTCCGACTCGGGTCACTGATCCGTTTTTTAAACCACTTGTTAAAAGGAATCGTGTTTTGGTTAAGAGCGAGAGAGGTGGTTATTGGTTTTGTTTTTTTTTAAATGACAGAGCGAGAGAGAGAGAGAGAGAGAGTTGGGTGTTGGGCTTAGATTGAAGGAAAGGAGGTAACGTATTAAAAAAGAAGGAAATAGCGGTTTGGTTGAGAGAGAGAGAGAGGGCTTGAATGAAATGGGAAAAAAAAAAGAAAAAGGTAACAGGGGCAAAAGGACCTTTCATTTGTGGGTTTTTAGTGAGAGAAAGGAACAGGGGAATGGGAGAATGAGGGGGATGGCTGTGCGTCGTGAGAGAGAGGGGGAAGGCGAAAGCAGGCCTCAAAGGAAGAGGATGGGGCAGTAGCGCGAGATGCTTGTGCTTGCAGGTTAGCGGAGATGGAGCAAGGGTGGAGACTGCGAGAGCAGGTGGAGGGAGATGAGGAGGAGTAGGAGGATGGACTCAATAGGCAGAGGATGGAAGAGAATGGCGGAGGTGGGAGTTGAAGCTGATTGGTGGCTGCGAAGGTGAGTGCGCAACAGTGAGAGGGGCTGAGACGAGGTGGTTGCTGTGGCACAGTGGAGGTGAGGAAGGACGAGAGGCAGAGAAGTGGGAGTTCAAGGGGTGCAAGAGTCGCGAGTGGCTGAGCAGTGGCGGAGATAGTGAGTGACTGAGGAGAGAGCAGAGAGGCAACAACGTAGTGTGAAGATGGTGGCGGAAATGAGATGGGGCTGGACTGCCGCAGGTCGTCGAGGAGAAGATGGCGTGCAGCCAAGGGGTGACAAACGGTGCTGATGGTGCACAGCAGGGAGGTTGAGAGTGGATTTGACGAGTGTTGGAGATGACAGGACCGGTGGTGGAGATGGCGGAAATAGAAATTGGGCTGTGGCTGGATTTAGAGATAAAGAGAACAGTGGCAGAGATTGAGAGAGGCGGAGATTGCAGAGAGGTGGTGGAAATGGAATGAAGGAGTCGTGGCTAGCTGCAGAGGTAGAGAGGGGCGGAGACAGGGCGTGAGGTTGCAGAAAACAGGTGGATGGAAGCGTGGTTAGCTTATGAGAGATGGTGGCAGCTGGTTGGAGTGGAGAGATGGTGGTGAATTGGGCCGGGGAGAGGTGGCGCACAGGGGCTGAAAAAGAGGTGGCTCACAGGAGCTGAAAGAGAGGTGTAGATGGGGAGAGATGGAAAAGGTGTAGCAGGCTGCTGGGAAAGAGGTGGAGGTGGCTTAGCAAGGTTGGATGGAATGGAGGTGGAGGTGGCTTAGCCAGGTTGGAGGGAAGATGGGATGCGCGGTGTAAGGGAAAGATGGGTTCGCGTGGCGTTGGGCTTGCTGCACACGGCGATAAGGTGAAGTTCGCATAAGGCGCTAAGGTTTTTTGCGCGCACGGCGATGGATAAGAAAAGCGTGGGCACGGAAAAGGTTATTGCCGTGTGAGCGGGAGAAGGTACGCGGCAGAAGTGCGCTGGGAAAAAAAAGCGTGGGCACGGTAAAGGTCATTACCGTGTGAGTGAAATAAGGTATACCGCAAAAATACGTTGGGAAGAAAAGGCGGGGGCACGACAAAGGACATTGCCGTGTTAGTCGAAGAAGGTACACGGCAGGCATTGCTACCGTGTGGGTCAAAGTGCAGGAAGAAAAGAATAGGTGGGCATAAGGGAATTCTGGGGGCAAGTGAAGCTATACATAGCGCAGCGAAAATGAGGTGGTAAGTGAACTTGAGGGACCACCAGGAGATAGAGGGGAAGAGTGGTCATGAGGGTCTACAGAAGGAGGGAAAGAGGAAAAGAAGGAAAAAGAATGAAACCTTCCACCAAACGGGAAAGAAGAGAGAAAAAGAGAGAAAGAGAAAGGAAAAAGAAAGAGAAGAGAGAAAGAGAAAAATAAGAGAGAGATTTATCCTAAGCTCAGCTCAGGGGTACCGATCTAAATGTTCTTTCTTTTTTCTCTCTCTCAAGGCGTGACCCAATAATAAAAAAATATAGGAATTTTATTCAACGAAGTAAGTCTTTTGTATAATGATATAACGTTATATATATAATCTTTTGCCCAAACATGGTTGCATTGCTCAAAATTAAACCTAATTTATGAAAATTAAGATTTAACTGAAATAAAAGAAATTTTAAAAATGAGTGCAAAATGACTATTTTTCTCCTGCCTAACAATATATGAAATTCCAAAATAGTCTCTACTGTTGCTCTAGAACGTGCGTGATGATCCGGGATTGCTCCGGTGCCCGTTTGCCAAAAAGATGATTGCTTTTTTGTAAGGTTTGTCATTGCGATCGATTTGATACCAATTTAGAGCCACAGATCATGTTTTTAAGCCACATTCATGCGACTTGAAATTCGTACGAATCTTGAAAAGTTTCGATAGATAGTGCGCTCGTTTCTTGATATTTTTCTATGATTTCTTCTTTGTATTGCACTGAGCATGCCGTCACGATTGCATGGCAACAATCGTAGCTCGATTTCGTGCATGGACGAAGATTTTGCAGTCTTGAGTTTTTTGTGGGAATCTGGAATTTCGGTGCCGAAATTTACAGCCACTTCATCGGCTTCACGTGCAAAATCTGACCTTTTATCATGCGTGGGGTTTGGATCAATGATAGCCATGGGCCTTACGCACGCGATGCAACCAGTTTCACGTCGATCGGGTTTGAGAGCGCCGTGATTTGGCCGCTTGAGTGAGGCATGTCGTTGTTGATTTTTCTGCAACTTTCTTCATGGATCAGCAACTTCTCTCTAGCTTTTCTCTGCGCTCGGGCGTCGTCACGGGGCATGCAACATATCGAAATGCTCGTCTCGACGAGACGAACACGCTCCAACAAGTTTGAGCACGATCCGACTCGGACGAGTGAGATATGAGCGTTGCAAGTCACTGTTCGTGACTGCCCCTTTAATGGAGTTTAGTTGCAGGGTGGCCGCACGGGAATAGTGTGCGGCTCTTCCTGTTTTGATCTTTTACCCATAACTTCTTCCTAGAGTGTTCGTTTAAGTTGAAATTTGATCCCTGGGGGTTTTCAACCGTGCCGGATCCAATGGTGGTGGTTCCACGGCCGCTTGATACTCCGAAAGTAGGGTTCTAATAATAGGGGTCTGTTTCAAGGTGCTAGAGGATGATTCTGCCAGAGCTGTTTCTTAGTATGCACTGCCTTAGACATGTCGGATTGAGACGAAACTTGACAGGAGACTTTTAAGAGTCCTGATGAAGATCTTGACCAGTTCTGGGGTCATTTTGACACTGTCGAAATTTTCACTGTTTATGAGGCTTTATTGACCGGCTTCACCCTTTTATTCCGCATCGGGGACCCATGGTGCTGAAAAATGTCTTCAAACATCAGCCACTTGGTGAATGTAATTTGTTGAGCAATTGACAAGGTAATTATCCCTTGGAGAATGGTGCTTTTTTTAGGAGAATGTTTATGAGAGATGGTTTCATTCGCTACATTCTCTAGGATGCTGATTCTGATGAAGACCTTTTAATCAAAGGCATGTGTAGTTATTGTCCTTGAAATGCTCTCCATCCCATTATTTGCTTTTGTTTACTATGATCTTTGTCCTATTTTGTCAGCCGTCAAGCTGGCTAATTCTTTTTTTTAAAAAAAAAGTAGTTAGGAAACAAATCATATCCAGCTTACCCACCCAATACTCTTGGTGTATTCAGCTTTCTCTTTCTACCCTACCTAATAGTACTAGGTGCTAGAAATGCAGAGGTTGCTGCTTCTGTCCTTCAGCTTTCGACTTGCAATGTTGATTTCCATGTAAATTATAGGAAGACTGAAGTTTTGGTCAAGTGAGCAGTTTCCTTTCTTGATGGTGAGCATTGTTGCTCGGAAGCATTTTTTATCTGTTTGAATGTTTTAAGTTTCAGCTATATATATTTTTTCATTTTTGATCTCTTTTTATCAATAAATTAGCAGGAGGTTTGAGCGGGTAGTTTACTTGTCGCATTAATTTGTGAAATAAGTGCATATCCAAGGAAGGAGATTTAGATAGCTCTCAGGGGCTCAATGCGTACAAGTTTTTTCACTGTAACACTCAAAATACTCCACACTCAAAGCTGTATGGGGGGGCACAATTCCCATCTCTTTTAGATGAGATTGTTCAGTGATATATATTCTTTATATAAGGCTAGAAATTGAAACAAAAAAAAAGCTCTCTTCTAGGCCTAATTTAATTTTCTTAGTTTTTAGCACCCTATATTTAACAGACAACAAATCTGCAGTCAGAGTCTGGCCTTATAGTTTGATGGTTGTGCCATACGGGCTGCAGGCCTATGGTCTTGTTTTTGAATCCTAGCTTATCCCCAAAAAAAGGAAATTGCAATACATACTAAATAATATCTTCATGATTTATTTAACTTCATGCAATGCAGATAATTTAGCAGCAAACTTCAGCCGGGAGTTGGCCGATTACATCATCTACATAATTGATGTCTCCGGTGGTGATAAGATACCTCGGAAAGGTGGCCCAGGAATAACCCAAGCAGATCTCCTCGTATGAAAATTCCTTTGCTCCCTATAATATTTCAGCATAATCATGCAAAATTTTAGATATGTTACTACAAAATCATCTTACTGACACACACATACACATATATTAATAGATAAAGTGAGCAATGATGTGATATTTGACCGCTTTAACTAATGATATGATGCATTTTATTATCCAGGTTATAAACAAGACTGATCTTGCAGTAGCAGTTGGAGCAGATCTGGCAGTTATGGAAAGGGATTCACTTCAGATGCGAGATGGAGGGCCTTTTGTCTTTGCTCAGGTTAGGTACCATAATCAAGATCACTATTTCAAACCCCGGATCAGTGGGGTGGATTGTCGACCGGATAGATCCGTGTTTGATTGCCGGATTTGGATTGGCTAAATAAATGATCCGGGAAATATTAAAAGTAATTAAAAAAGAGAATTAAAATAGGGGTTTGGTTAGGGGGACTAAGAATATATTAGGTATACTTAAAATAAATAAATAAATAAAAGGAGGGGTTTTCGGCGTGGGAGGGACCCGAACTGCTACCTATACCTTCTCATAATCAGTTTAGGTCCCCGCAGATTCCTAATTTGGATCGACACTTGTTAAGATAATAAAGCAATGATGTGCATAAGTGCGCTCAAACTTTTAGCATAACTAATTTGCTCAAGTATTGGAGAATCAGATGTCTTGCCAGCATTGGTTTTGTTTATGATGAAACAAGAGAAGTTTTTGCACTCATGTTCGCTTAAAATAGTGTTTACTACAAAAGACCTCCTGATATAATTTTGTTTTACATTCGTACCTTTTTTCCCCAAAATACCACTTTGGGCCTTCGAGGTTCGAAGTGAGAAGACAAATTCTAAACTTCCGAAGTGAGAAGACAAATTCTTAATTTCCGAAGTCAAGATTTCGAGCCTTGACTTTTGAATCTTCAAGATCCGAAGTCACTAGACTTAAAAAATTGAGTGTTGACTTTAGATTTCAAAGTCCAAAGTTGAGACTTGTTGAAATGACTTCGGACCTCGAAGATCCAAAGTCATTTCGACAAAACTTGACTTCGGACCATAAAAGTACGAAGTCACAGTAAAAGAAACTTGGCTTCGAACCATAAAGTTCTGAAATCACTATAAAAATATTGTACGGGGCTTTGATCCAAAGTCCTTGTCACTCTGAAGTGGGGGCATTTTGGAGAAAAATAAAAAAAGGAAAAAGGAGTATATGTACCTAACAAACAAAAATCAGGGGGGAATTTTATGATAATGCTACTTAGGGAAACATGAGCATAAATTTCTCATGAAACAATAATATAAAGCACGTGAAGCAGTTTAGTGACATCTATGTTGTAGCCAGTTTCTATGTTAGTGCTATATACTGTTTGTAAGTTTCGAATTATTATGTGTACTGTGTCGCAGATACTGTGTCCACAGCTAATATCCAAGTATTGTTGCTTAAAATAGAATGTGCACTATTTTATTTCAAATGAGATTGACCTAATCGGGTAGGGGACCTTCTCCCCCCCTAACTTACCCAAAAAAAATGAGATTGACCTAGGTTTTCGATCTCCTCTTATGTTTTCTGCATTTTCTTGAAATGGAACATGAATACTAGAGGCTAGTTTTAACAGGAACTGCATTTCCCTTGAGTTTAGCTGACCTTGTGGAAGTAGTTAGCTACCCTTGTCATTCTGAGTTGCCTTCTTATCTTCTTTGAGAAGTTAATAATGCTGCTGATTGCTTGGCTGGAGATGGAATGGTGGCGGATGCCCATTCTGAGGCTTAAGCCAGATTCCCTATCACTAGGGTACTCTGTTGTGCCTTACTAATTTGATCCTCTCCTCTGCTCCTTTCTGGTCTTCAACTTTATTCCTTTTATGTTTTTACCACATATCTTTGTCAATGGTTACAACTTGATGTGCAGCACTTTTTTTTTAGTATGAAGCTATTTTCTATATATTTAGATTCATGATATGTTTTAGCAAAGTTTTATGTTGGTTGTCAATTGAACACAACCCAACCCCTTTACTCGGGCATGGGACAGGTTAAGGAACCTCACCCTTCTAAGACCATTCCATATGCTTAAAAAAGGTATAGAAATAAAAACAATATATACAAGGGTGTTGTTTGTATAGAGCCTATGGTCTAAACAATCAAATTAGAGCCTATTTTCAAATAGTCTCGAGAAATGTGGTTTTAATATTGGAAATCTTTGTGATAGCCTTAAAATATATTTTCATATTTATTTATAAATTTTAAAGCTTCAAAAATAGTGTAGATTGATAGATCTATGAATCTTGAAAATCGACGGTCCAAAAATGCGTTACAAAATGCACTGTTTCTAAAACTTTAAATTCATTTTTTTCTCATGTCCATGCTTTTTGATGTCGAGATGATCAATTTGAAATATTTGAACTCTTTTGGTGAAATTTTTGAGGTAGGCTCAAATTTGATTGTTTAGAGCCTCTGCTCTATATAAACTTTTCCCATATATAAATATAAAAAATATATTTATTTATTTTTCGTTTCTTTGTAAGTTTGTATGTTTTAAACCCTCTACTAAATAAGGGGGCCTAGTTATTGATCTGAGTTTTAGAAATGGCTTGTTCAGGTAAAGTCAATGTGAGCTCCCATGTGCAGGTGAAACATGGAGTTGGAATAGAGGAAATCGTGCATCATGTCTTACAAGCTTGGGAGAAGGCCACTGGACAAAAGCGGCGTTGACCTGTCAAAGGTTTTACTTCTTCCTTCCCTTCCCTTCGCTTCCCTTACCAAATGGGAAGAGCTTTTATAGGCGGCAATCTTATCCTATAAAAGTAAGGAGGTGCGCCGCAAAAAACTATTGGAAAAGTTGGTTGTGATATTAGAAAACTCTGAAATTGTCATTTTGATCTCGAGATGCATTTTAAAATTTTAAAAGAAAAAGATTATTTTGAGATACGTTAAAAAAAAAAAAGATTTAAGTCCTGAAAATAGTTTGAATTTTTAATACACCTGGTGATAATATAATTTTCACACATCGGAGCTGCCGACTTTATCAAATACAATTAACTCCAAAACATCCCCACAAATTAGAGAGAGAAATTATTTTAAATTTTAAGTTTTAGAGAGAGAAAGTACTTTTGAAATTTTTGAGAGAAGAAATTTATATCAAATTTTAGAGAGAAACCATCTCAAATTTTTTAGAGAGATAAACTATCTCAAATTTCAAGTTTTAGAGAAAGAAAGTATTTTAAAATTTTAGAGAGAGAGAGAGAGCCAACTGAGATTTTTTAGGGAGATTATTTCAAAAATTTTAGAGAAATTATATCAAATTTTAAATTTTGGAGTTAGTATCTTAAAATTTTGGAGAGAGATGTCAAATTTTAGAAAGAGAAACTACCTAAAAATTTTAGAGAGAATCTGTTTCAAATCTTAAGTTTTAGACCACAAGTATCTTAAGTATCTCAAATTTGAATTTTTAGATAGATAATATGTTAAAATTTTTAAAGAGAAAATATGTCAATATTTAAAGTGAGAAACTACCTGAAACTTTTTAGATAGAGAATAACACAGCGCTGATAGCTCAATAAAAACCCCCAAAAAAAAACTTTTTAGATAGAGAAATTATCTCAAAATTTTTAGAGAGAAAAATTATATCAAATTTCAAGTTATAGAGAGAGTATTTTAAAATTTGAGATAGACTAATTGGATTATGTATAAGTACGAATAAAATAAACGATCACATAAATAATCATGTAAATAATTGTCGGTTTAAAACGATAGAGATCCTATTGGTAATGGGATTCAAGAAGCTCCAATAGTTTACATGTTAAAATTATAGACGTAAAATATTGGGACATGTGAAAATATTTTACATGTTAGCTGCATAAGAATAAGCAAAGAGCTTTGTTTCCTTACTCTTTTCAAATTTCAATAAATTATAATGTGGAACATAATTTGTTTTGCTTAAAAAAATGTGTATGAGAAATTCTAGGATTTTTAATTATAAAATAGTAATATTTTTGAAAATATTTTTCAATTATTAATAAAAATAAAGGTGCTTCTAAAATACTTTCAATTTTTATTTCTGAAATTTTTATGATTTTAATTTTCATTAATGACTTACTAACCTATTTTTGAAGGAGTTTAGAAAATAAAATAAATTTAATTTTAAAAATTCTATATTTTGAAAATAATTAATTATAATTTTCGTAATAAAAACATTTAAATCATAGTAAACAGTTTTTAGAATCATGTAAATGCACAAATAATTTTCTCATAAAATTTAAATCCTCAATTAAAAAGAGAAAATTAATAGTGATAGTGCTTGAAATAATAATATATTGTCATTATTATTTTATCTAAAACCCTACATATCAAAAAGAAAGTACCATCCAAACCTAATTGTCTTTAAACTTATTACATCACTCACAAGAAGACAGATCACAAAGTAGCACATAAGCATGAAATGAAGGCCAAACAAGTAAAAAAAAAAATATATGTAACACCATGTAGCACCAGTTTGATAATAGATTGAATGCATGAAACTCAAAAAAAAAAAAAAAAAAACTATGAAATGAAAGCATGGAAATCTTTTTTTTTTGGGTAAATAAATAAAAACATATGGAAATAAAAAATAGCAAACAAAAGAATGGCGAGGAATCGATTTCCTATCAGACAGATAAATCCTAACATGTATGGGTTGAGAGATTGGTACCTTACCAGGCCGAAGAGAGAGAGCGATAGCTTGAACCCAAAACATTTATGCAATTTTAGAGAGAGAAAGAGAGAGACACAACAAAGCATTTTATTTTCCATTACTTTCAAATAATATCAGAAGGTTTATATCTTTCTAAAAATTTTAAAAGTACATAAACATTTTTAGAGTGAGAAATTATCGCAAAAATTTTAGAGAAAAATTATCTCAAATTTTAAAATTTAGAGAGAATTTATCTTAAAATTTTAGAGCGAGAAGTTATATCAAATTTTAGAGAAACTACCTAAAAACTTTGGAGAGAGACAGAGTATTTTAAAATTTTAGAGAAAGAAGCTATATCAAAATTTTTAGAGGAACTACTTGAACATTTTTAGAGAAAAATTATCTCAAAAATTTTAGAGGGAAATAATCTCAATTTTAAATTTTAGAGAGAGAATGTATCTTAAAAATTTTAGAGAGAGAAATTATATCAAATTTTAGAAAAACTATCTAAAAAATTTAGGGAGAGAAACTATCTTAAATTTTAAGTTTTAGAGAGACAAAGTATATTAAAATTTTAGAGAGAAACTGTATCAAATTTTAGAGAGAGAAATTACTTGAAATGTTTTAGAGGGAAGCTATCTCAAAAAAATTTGGAGAGAGAAATAGTCTAAGAAATTTTAGATAGAGTAACTACATCAAATTTTAATTTTTTAGAGAGAAACTGTCTCAAAATTTATAGAGAGAAATTATATCAAATTTTAAATTTTTTTAAAAAATTATTTCAAAATTTTTAGATAGAGAAACTATCTCAAAATTCCAAGTTTGATGCGTTCTTCCTCTCTTTGTGCATGTTTCGAACTATGTTTACCAAACATGGGAAAAGGCGTGATTAAGTAATTTTTCATGTAAACTGTTTGCATGTGTAAATATTTTCCTGTCGAATTTTGACGCATACTAAATTACCCCTAATAGAAAACTAGGTTATTGAAAAAGATGATCCAAATATGAGATTTAATGAGTACTATTCAAAGTTATCCAGTTTCCCGTTTTAGTAACCTAAGTTTAGCATAATAAAGTTTTTATTCAAAACCCGAGTTTGTTAACTCATGGAGCCAAACAAACCATAAAATAAGGTGCATCTTAAAAAACCAATGGTTTTGATACGAGAAAACTCTGAAATTGTTATTTTGATTTCAAGATACTTTTAAAAAAAAAAAAAGATTTTAATCCTAAAAATAGTGCTTTTTGTACCATATTAGTCATTTTCAAGATTTTAAGTGTTCATAGAAATGTACTAATTTTGAATTTTTAAACTTTATAATTAGAGGTGAAAATAGATTTTCAACTAGATTTCTTATAGTGAAATATAATTTTTTAATAAAATTTAGAAGTGCACCTTAGTTTGACTATTTAAGATTGATAATTGTACCATTATTAAACATTGTATTCAACGTGTAATTTGATCAAAGCAGTGCACGGGCCAGTAAATTAGTGCCTCTTGATGATTATCTACAATAATATGCCCAATCACGGTTTTGAGAATTTCGTAGCATGCCTAAATCTGGGGGGTTTTTTGAAGTTTTTGTACAAGGGATAACTGGAGAAAATATTGGGACAATGAAAATGGCAATAAATTAGAAATACAAAGAAAATAAAAATATGCTTATTGTAAAAAAATGAAAATATGGTTGCTTGGCTCTTACTTTTTTTTAATAGCCAAAAGATTTCTGAATCCCTAGAGTATGCTATTTATTTACTCCCTCCGGGCGAAATACGAGGGTACTCTTTAGATCTCAAATTTTAGAGATATAATTTATACAATCCATACAATAATCTCAATAAAAAAAAGTGAAAATTTTTGGTTGAGGAGCTCAAATTAAGAGGTACTCTGCTCGAGAGTGTAAGCCTATAGTGTGCTTTTGCAGGAGCATATACTTTATGAAGTTTTAACTTTAAAAGTTGACCCCTTCCATAACTAAATAAGGGTGCGGTTTGTATAGAGCCGAGGCCCTAAATGATCAAATTAGAGCCACCTTCAAATAGTATCGAGAAATGTGGTTTCAGTACAGGAAAATCTTTGACTAGCCTTAAAATATATTTTCATCTTTAATTATAAAATTTAAAGCTTCAGAATAGTGTATATCGAGCGTATCTATGAAAACTTGAATAACTTAAAAATTGACGGTCCAAAAATGCGTTAAAAGATGTACTATTTTCAACACTTGAAATCCATTTCTTTCTCAAGTCCATGCATCTTGATGTCAAGATGATCAATTTGAGGATATTTGGGCATCAAAACAACCTCTTCTAGTGAAATTTTTGATGTAGGCTCTAATTTGGTTGTTTAGAGCCTGGCCTCCCTATAAACTTTTTCTATTAAATAATCCTAGAATATAGAAACAAACGAGTACTATTTTCCAAATGGAAAAAGCTTATATAAGGTTGCAACCTTAAAATGTAAAATTAAAACTGCACTTCAAAAATCCATCATAAAAGGTTATTTGGAAGGGGGAAAATCTTCTAAATTGATCATCTCAATATCGATATGTATGAATAAGAATAGAAAAAAAGATTTCCAGTCCGCAAAATAGTGTATCTTGCAACACATTATCTGGACCGTTAAGTTTCAAGATTTTCATGTATATATAGATCTACTTGATTTGAACCTTTTTAGAGTTTAAAATTTTATAATTAGAGATGGTATCAAAATTACATTTATGATAAAATTTAGAGGCGTGCCTTAATTGGATTGTTTAAGGTTACAACCTTATGCAATTTTTTAATTGGGATAAAATAAAATGATCAAAATGCCCCAAAACTTTTTAGGGGTATTATGGTAATTTTTATAATAAAAAACATTTTTATTTTTATTTTATCTTGTGTGTCTTTATTAGATGTATGCATGTTTCCAATTTTGCTACAAAATGACTTATAAAATAAAAAATGAAAATGAAACACTCTGAGGTATCAGATCAAGATCTGATGCTCAAGAGCAACTCATATTGGACAGCTAAGAGCAAAGGTCACATATAATTTGTGGGTGGGTCATATGT